CCCATAGGAGCGTTAGTCGTTGAAGCGAGTTGAGCATTTTAGAAAATAAAGGACCACGTCGTTGTTGATATTGAAACTGATATATCATCAAAAGTACATAATAGATCTACATCTAGTACATCTCTATAATAAGAGTACATCTCTACTATGTACTCTTGATATCTATTTGCCTGCTATTATATCCCCAGCCTTTGGTAAATAAGTCAATAACCATTTGTCCCAGCATAGTGATGGTGTCGTTTTGTTTTGGGGACGGGAACAGGAAGGCCAAATGAGTTAGAGGTGTGACAGGGAGAGAGGGAGAACGGGAATATAAAGAGGGGAAGGACCGTAGCGAGTAGGTGGGCAGAGAGTAGGACTAAGGTGTGATAGATGGATGGATATAGTGTGTTATACAACGGCCGGGGGAAGAGAGCGCGCGAGAGAGCGACAAGAGAGGGAGAGAAAAGAAAGAGCGCGGCAGAGAGAGAGAGAGAGAGAGAGAGGAGAGAGAGAGAGAGAGACTGAGAGAGGAGATGGGTTAATTAGCACGAGCATAGGTGCATGTTTCACCTGCTCCAGTTTCTCTCACAATCACCGTGTCAAGAAATGCGACCGCTGTGGCATCTTGGCTGCTGTTCCAGTACGGTTAACGTTGTTTTAGCACAGTTGTTCCTCAGTGTGTCGAACCGCTGTTTGTGCTGTCACTGTATGCATTAACCTGTCACTTTTATGCTACACACGAAGGCATTTCTATACAGCACACACACGCAGACACGCAGGCAAATACCATGCAGCGCACGCGCACGCACGTACGGCACACACACCCACCACCTACCCACTCACACACACGCACATGCGCTCTCTAAACGCACACATTCGCGCGCACACACGCAGACAGGCAGACAAGCACACACACGCACGCACGCACGCACGACACACACACACACACACACGCACGCACACCAGTAAGTCACTTGTGTTCGAGTTAGTGGGCCGTCGTCTGAGACACGGCTAATCATGAGTCTCCAAATCATGAGGTCACCTGCACGTCAACATCGCAATCACTGCAGAGCGGACTGCCTCTCTAACCTGTTTCGCGCTGGTTAACTTTGGCCCGCTGACTGTCTCTAATATTGTGAGTAAAGGAAGGTTCAAGTTAAGTCGGTCTAATCCGGGCTTGTTAGAGGGAAACAATGGTGTCAGCAATTGCTCACAAACGAGAGAGGAATGCCTTAATCCTTAGCTGCGATGAGGCGGCTCTGTATCATGGTGTACATCCCCCTGTTACAAACCACCCCTCCCCGCATACACTGCGGATAGGCATATGGGGAGTTCACCTTTATTGCCCATGCGCGATGTATAGGAGTGGAGAAGTTTGTCACTGGGGGGGGGGGCAACATGCTACACCGGCACGGCGCGGTATTGACTGTAATACCTTCATTTTCGGGTACTTACTCCCTCCAACCTGCAGGAAGTCATATTTGGCTATGGCACTGGCAGCAGTAACCCAGTTCGAAACTTGTTCGAATAGAGCAGGCATTGTTGGAAGTGCCGGGTTAGGCGTGGAAGGCAGTTTTGAAGACTGTATTTAGAAGAGAAAAAAGCGCCCAACTGGGGCGTTCCACGAACCTGCGTGTACCTGGCAATGTTCCAATCGCACATTGTTTTCCGAAAATCGCCGCGTTGTCCCCGCGCTCATCTCGCGACGCAAAAAGTTCGCTTGCATTTGCAGTGCACCGCTGTAGAACTATAGCCTGTGGCACACGCCTGTGGCGGCGCGAATGGCTATAGTTCTAGAGCTAGTTAGCCCCCTGACGGGCTAAATACCTCAGCTCCCTGTCTGTTTCATAAGCTGGTTTTTAATCTCTTTATTTCTGTTGCAAATATGTGATCTGTTAATTTATTTGAGAGAGGGTCATTTTAAAACACGCTTGCGGATTTTTTTTTTTCACCGGCGGGTTTCTTTTTCGTGGCTGTCACTTGTGCAGAGCCAAACTGCATGCAATGCCCCTTCGCTCACTCAGGATAATAATAGTAGAATTGAGCCAGAGCGAGAGCGCCATCTGTCGTGGAGTTTGGTGCAGAGAAGCACTAGTTGCGCCCCCTGGTGGTATGGGGAGTGAATAAAAAGACCTATTTGTATTTATTCACTCCTGCTGGCCTATCACGGTGAGTCTACGGAGAGAGCTTTAACATGTACTCTTCATGCTGTAACAACCTATTCTTAGCCTCATATCTACAAAAGGGAAGAATACTTGCAGAGGATTCATAACTCCAAGAGTCCATAATAGAAAACATTTTCTATTATGGACTTGATAACTCCTATACACACTTGGGCAAAGGGGGAATTGTCAACCCGTTAACTTATCAACGTGTGGAATTGATGGCACTTGTGTAGGAAACTGGTGTGGTCTGAAATGAATCGCTTGAACATTGCAGCTTTCTGTAAAGACCATAATAAATAGAATTCTGCCAGTAATTGGAAGTCTATAATAAATATTGGAGATTTTAAGTGAACCCACTAATATGCTTTTTATAATAACAGCTGAGGCATTTATATACCGTTACTACGCCGGTGGTGTAAAATCTCGTTTTAAGGACCAATCATGTTCTCCTAGGCACGCTTTGCCTTTTAGCAAAAACACGACAAAAACCTTGAGCGCTTGTCGAAGGCCAGTGTAAACGCAGATCCATCCCTGCCAACAGTATCCACAAACTTGTGAATGCGCAGTTGCATCGAGCCAATGTTGCTGCGTTTCTGTCCGAGTTTTGCGTTATTCATCCTACTAGGCATCACCTGTATGTACGTTGGCTGCATGCATGTTCAAGGATGAACACGTCTGTGGTATCTACAAATGTCTGCGGGCCACACAAGTGGAATACTTTTACAGGTTGTCATAAAAACGCATTTCGTGTCCCGTAAAGCATTTTTATGACGTAGCCAATTACCGCGTCACCTCAAATTCTATTAATAGCTTAGTGTGGGAAGATAATTACTGACCACGACAATTGTATACGTGGTATTACATTGACGGCCCATTTTCGTAATGCCCCCATCGCGTGTGTAAGCCGTGTGTATTGCCACAGATGTGTGCGGCCGTCAGCATTCCATTGTGTTGTTAATTACTACGGGATTCGTGACGTTCTTTGTACAATAAACAATCCATGGGACTACAACGAGTGACGTGTTTTTGGTTTATTGCACTGTTGCGCTGGAATGCCAGTTCCGAAATTGGAATTTGGTAATAAAAAGTAATTAAAAAGTAATAACAGACATCCCAACAAAGTTCTGCCTTATTTGTCTATGCTAGTGCGAATTCGTCACGAGCTTTCTTGAGAGTGTGGTGTGTTATAATACTTTTCCAAACATTAGATAAGGTTGTGTGTGTGTACACGCTGCTTATTCATTGCTCATGCAATATTCATGGGCGTATTATATTTGTCGACCATGGCCTGTTCTTGGTAATCACTACGTTAGTATGAAGCGTGATGGGAATAGTCAGGCCATCCCCGGATGAGTCACGAGTTACTTCATCCCCGTCATACCTGTGAATAGCCATCATAATTGCTGTCATCGACCGCATTGTCATCATCGTTGTCATCAGTGCCATCATCGTCGTCATCAGAGCCATCATCATCATCCACAGCGTCATCATCATCATCGTCATCATCACATCATTATCATCAGCAGCAGCAGCAGCACTACTACCAGCATTAACATCACAAGCAGCAGCATCGTCACCATCATCTCTGTCAACATTGTTGCCACACCTTGCGCTGCCACGTTAGCGAGACACTAACACTAACGATGTGCTCCCTCTTGTCATCTGCAGGTGAGTCTGGACTCGGCAAGTCTACTCTCATCAACTCCCTCTTCATGACAGAGCTATACAACGCAGAACATCCGGGCGCATCTCTACGCATCAAGAAGACAGTGCAGGTGCGTGTTCTGTGACAGGAACATGTGTAGTTCTACCCATGTAGCCCTTACTACCATGTAGTTCTGTGTCCCCGTAGACCATCCAGACTAGTAGGAAATGTAAGATTTGAGATTTGTCATCAGCAATGTAAGTTTAGTATTCGCGTAGCAAACGATAGATCATATATCAGCTACAACATTGCAAAAACCAAATTGTTGA